ACAAGATACTATTTCACAACCACTAGGATGGTTATAATAAAACAGACATTAGACTGATGTGGACATTAGATATATTGGGTTGTCAGGAAAGACATGATGCATTTTTGCGTAGAAAAACAGAAAAATGCATCAGGACTTTCCCAATAGCCTAGTATGTAATCTGACACCACTAAACCACCTTAAATATTAGAAAATTTTGACTTTTAAAGATGACCTAACAAAGATGCAGTTTGAGCGCTGAGCTTATGCTGCCTGCCAGCTAACAGCACAATCTTTATATAGGCTATACAATTATTGGCTTTTATATTTTATTTCCCTTTATTTTGTAAATATGTTGAGAAAAACAGAAAAATGAAAGTGCAAAAACCAGCAGTAAGGAATGAAGGTCTCTTAAGTTTAATTAACATGAAGATAGAAATAGTCATTAGCCTCAATGAAATGCTCAGTCAACTGTATATTCTACTATAAGTCAACTATAAGTTAGTCAACTGTGTGTTTTACGATAAAAGAACAAACATAAAGAACATTAACAAAGTGCTTGGACTGTATCATCAAGATCATGTCAAGTCTATATGATTAAAAATAATCTTATAATGCTAATATTTTTATAATACTCTAACTCTCTGGCTTAGACTCTTAAAACACTGTTTTAAAACATCTACTGGAGGGGCCAGCAGGTGGCACAGTGGTTGGGGCAGTTGGATTCTCATTTGGCCAACTACAGTTCAAATCCCAGATCTGGCGGCTTGCTTTCTCACTTTCCCTCCCTCTTTCTCTCTCTAGTCAAATTAAAACATAGTAATAACAAAATAAAATAATTCTTTAAAAAGAAATCTACTGGAGCTGGCCCTTTGGACTGGTGGTTAAGGGAGCTGGATCCCATGTGGCCAATCATGCAATTTGAGTCCTGGCCCTGGCAGCTTGAAAATCATGCCAAGCTTGTGTGTGTGTGCATGTCCCAGATTCCAACAGGATGGAAAAATGGACAAAAGGGGATTGTGCCAGGACCATGCCACATTAAGAAGTGCTTTCTACTTCTACTTCTCTGTCTCTTTCTAGCAAAAATAAATAAATAAATAAATAAACCTTTCTAACTATGGACATAGTCTGGCAGCCACAAAACTAGCCAAGCACACGGTCAGGTCTAGGAACCAGTTCCAAGTCATAGGAAAGACGACCATGAAATTCAGGTACATATAACAATGTCATATATAAAACCTAATATAGTAAATGGTAGCCCTCTTCATCAAATAGAATAGTTATACTAAACAAACAAGAATCAAAATTCAACTAATGAATGTGCTTAAAGAGTAATATGAATATGAACCTTAAATATAAATACAGAAAAATGAAAGTAACATGTACGAAGAACAGAACTATGCATGGATTTTTTTTTTTTTTTGCCTGTATCTATTTTAAGTATTTTGTGCATCTCTTCATTAACACTCTGTTCTCACTAGACTTTAGACTAGGGACTTTCCTGACCTGTACCATCTTGAGATCACCCAAGTCCCAGCACTCATTAGTTCCATTCTCCATCTTAGATTCATTAGCGGCAAATGAACTAAGTAGAAAAGTGCGCTGCGTTAGTAAGTATAGCACGTAAGTATTAGCACCATGGAGGCCACATTGCACAACTCCAGGGAATACCAGTCCCTTAGTATATACTAAAAATAGTGCCCCCTGGAGTTTGCAACATGGCAGCCCCATAGTCACTTCCGGTTATCAGTAGTTACTTTCGACCAGTGCCAACTTTTTCTTTTTTTTTTTTAAAGTTCTTGCGATATAGCACATGGGCTCATAGGAGGGAGCAGAAAGAGACAGAGAGATGGAAAGTGAGGAATCACATCCCCCTACCAGAGGAGATGGCCATGCCTCTATTCCTTCTCCTTCATTCTCTTCTCAGGACTTTGGACATGCACACACACGCGCTCTACTTGATTCTCAAACTGCTAGGTCCAGGACTTGAACCACAGCGGCCATGTGGGAGTACAACACCTTAACCACTACACCACCTGATGGCCCGCCTACTCTGATTTTAGTTATCCCAGCCTCCAAGCCTCTTTTAATTCATGTATTTTTATCTGTGTCAGTTTACTGACATTCAAAACTTGTAATTCTCTCATCCTTTCATTATCAGACTTCTATTAAATATCCAACTTCCTTTCATTTGCCTTTCTTGCTTATAAGACCTCTTTTAAAAATCATTTATTCCAGTTTTTTCAGCTTATACTGTCTTAGTATAAATATTAACATATATAATTTTTTATAATTTAAATGAAAGATCATTCTCCATAGAATATTTTCTTATGATTCTTATGATAATCTTGAAAGGATGAAGTTTCTAAATTTCTGGAGGACTTGGTTGGAGAGTAGTACAGGAAAAATAATTCTTCTACCTAATAACAAACATGTATTCTCCACATTTAACATATTTTTCTTATCATTGTAAGAGAATAAGTGAGATTTTATAACTGTAGTTGTGAATGTTTTGGGCCATTGCTTGCTACCAATAATGTCAAGAAGGACCGTAAAAAAGAAAGAGGAAAATGCTAACTCAAAAATGTGTCTGCAATACCAACTCTAAATATAATATTTTTCAAAGTTTATAGGCAAGGAGAAAGTCTCTAAATAACCATGAAAGCCACACACAAAAATGCTTAAGATTTTTAAACTGACTTAAGTTTCAAACTGTAAAATGATATAAAATTTATATTTTAGAATCAATAGGATGTTTCCAATTTTTCCTGGTCTGATGTTTCACCTTTTCAGATCAGTTATCTAAGAGAAGTCAATATAAATGCTCAAGTGAATAACTATTCCATTGTGGCTGAATGACAATACTGAGGCTATAATAAATACCATGTGATAAATATTTATTCTCCTGAAATTTTTTGGAAGACATTTGTTTTTATTTTTATAGAAATAATAACCCCTTATCCTGTTCAAGAAATGGCCTCTGTCATATGTTCTGAATATCCTGCTTCTGCTTCACCGTTACTTTAAATTCATGGTTTCTTCTTCATCTTATGTCTGTTTCGATAACAATTCAATAGTGATTTTAAAATGTTAAATTGTCTTTTCATTATCTGCCCTTCCTCTTATTTCTAGTTTTTGGAAAATCCACTATAATTTTATTATAGTTGCATATGAATACATAGTCAAAAAGACTCAGATGTAAAATGCTAGTTATTTAAGGTGGTCTGTAATAAGTCATGAAAATGCAGCAACTTCCTAGAGAAGCAGAAATGAGAAAAAATAGAGAAAAAGAAGAAAAAGAACTGAATTAGTGTGATCAGACCTGGAAAAAACTGCTTTCTTGTGGAATAATAGAACATAAGTACAGATTTCTAAAAGTAGAGATTTCTGACCTAATACAGGCTATATTATACAGATAAGTCATTTTTTTTTCTTTCTTTAATTCTTCTCAAAAGAAGATGGAATGAACATAGACGTTTACATATGTTTGCCTTTGGGGCAATGTAAAATCCCAGGAGTAACAGGACACAAAAGTGACCTAAATTTTTAATCCTCTAAAGTTGTCTTCTCACTAATACAGATTTAATGGAGTTGGTTTAATGTAAAAACAGAAGAATGAATACCTTAGGGAAGTTTTTTTGGATATACTTAAACTATAAAGGATCTTTTCATTCACTCATTCAGTACATGATGACTCTCAAAATTGCCTGCTGGTGGTTAACACATTGACAAAGAGGGGGACTCAAAGTGTCAAATCTTTTGAAGAAGAGAGAAAGAAACATTCACCATGAAAAAGTCACATCCAGAATTTTAAAAATTCATTTCTGAAATGTTAATGGTAAAATCCAGTATCTTAATATTAATGTCCAAATGGAGGATTCTACCATCATAATTCTAACAGAACACCCATCTTAGAATCTTGTCCTTTTTGACTTCCTTTTATTCCAAGCTGAAAGAGATCACCCATAAGCTTTATGAACTGAGTTTACTGGCTTTCAAATCTTGAAATGAAATCTATGCTCAAAACAAAGCCTGAAATTAGGATGTATACACCTCTATGCTAAATTTAAAATAGTTTTGCTGCTACCAAGAAGAGCTTAGCATAATTTTAGCTGGTCTTCAGCCGAAGTTAAATTAGCAAGCAAGATAAATTCACCAGCCCCTTTCAATTTACATGCATACATTCATCCACACACACATATTATCAAATATTTTAAATGTATATTATTATACTAATAATTTCTGATTCTAAACATGTATTCCCAGTCATGAGGATGACTGCATTGTAAGATTTGTTCATACAACATTCTGATTATTTTCAACACAATTCAAAATAAAGTTTCTGCCCTCTCTCACCTTCTTATTACCCAGGAGTAATGTTGCCTCATTTTCAAATTTTGCTTAAAAATGATGCCTAAATATGCTGGAAAAATAACAAGGGTATCCTATAACTCTAAGCTTTTTTGATCCATTTGAAGGTGTGGGTGCTCTCATTAGGATGTGCTTATTGTGGAATGCTATGAATACTGAAACTGTGTAGGAACAGTGAATTCCAACTGCTTAGAGAAGACTGCAGTGTATAAAATCTAGCTACTTATTCCTGCACTGCTTTGGCATTCTTGGAAATTAGTGTTGGGCTTAATTTGTTCAGGTTTTATCTAGGGTATAGGAAATTTTTAGATTTCAGACTATGTATTTCAATTAAATAAACCACCTTCAATGGGAAATGTCAAACCTGATTTCTCTCATCAGGCATACTAAACCAATCTGCCCACCCTCTGTTTCAGCTTTACATGCAACTCTAAGCAAATAAGCTTTCTGATGGAAGAGATCAATGACTTAGATAATACACAATTTTATGTCTTTATAATAAGTCACCTTCCACACTAAAACATGCAACCTCCATAAAATAAATTAATATTTTGCTTTCATAGCAATAATGTTATTTGCCACCATTACAAACAGAATACATTTGAGACAATGTCTTTTTAAATAAAAGGATTAAAATAATCCCAACATTAAAACCAAAACAAAGGCAATTTATGTTCCCACATCTTTATTAAAACATTTACTTTATAATCCTGGCTCAACAAAAACTCTTGGACTTTTATATAACAATCTTGACTTAAAAGTAACACAATACACTTAAGGCAGAATTACCTTACAGACGGCCCCTGCTTCTAGACACAAATGTACCTCTTTATAACAAAAACCCTTGGACTTTTATATCACAATCTTGACTTAAAAGTAACACACAATACACTTAAGGCAGAATTACCTTACAGACGGCCCCTGCTTCTAGACACAAATGTACCTCTTTATACAAAAAGCTAAAAATCACACAGAGAAGTACCTACTGACGTCTTTCTTGGTACTTATCTTTAGATTTAAAACTAATAAGTTGAGTTCCTACAAAATCTCACTTTTGAAATACAAACAAACACAATTACTATTTTATAATTGCCTTTATCTGATTTGATTGGGTACAGTTACTATTAATAACATAACCTATAAATTTGTGGGGAAAAATCAATTCTTTATATTCACTCCTCACAGAAAGCCAACAGCAAGAAAAATGAGGAGCCATTATAAAATCATATTGTTAAGTATTACTTTAATTCACGATTCTGCTTTTATAACTGTATGCACAGCACAGCTAATACTATTGAATTATCGAGATACATCCAAAAGTATGTTTGGTTGCATTACCAGCAGGAAGCTAGGCAGCACTGAAGATTCATTCTCTGATCATTAGTACAAACTGAAGCTTTTGATGATCCCAATCTCTGGGGGGCTGTAGCACGTTGTTCAGGAGACCGAAGGGTTCAGGTGAAAGACTTTAAAGACTGGAAGGCTTATAGTTAAGGGGTAGAGTTATCACTGGCAGATTTTAGAGAAATAGGAATGCAACCAAAATTACTCAACGTTTATTAGAAAGTAAGACATTAAATTGTTTCTCTTTCAGAAAAATAACGATACTTTACAGATAAACTTGTGTATTTTCAAATGTTCTTTTTCTTAAAAGAACATATAAAACTAATGTATTTATGAAATAAAACAGTTTCAAGTATACTTGTTTCTCTTCATTTTCTTCTTTCAAAGGAATTGTTCTTATCAAGCGCAAATGTGCTAATCCTTACAGCAAGACAAACTCTTCTGTGCTAAATCTTTTCAATCTTTTCTTTTCATCCTCTGAGAAAAGGTCTTCTTCATTGGTTGTAGTAGATGTAAAATCATAGTCTCTGGAATGACCATTTACAAAAGTAAATAAGGGATATTTCTCCTTAGAAGAAATTGTCAGCATCTGTAACAGAAAGTGCAGAAGAATCCCTTACTGGGTGCAATGGTGCACTTGGACACACGACAAAATACCATTTTTTAATGTTGAACCTTTCCTGGCTTCTCTCTCTACATTCATCCAGTGCTACTGCTAAAACTGATTGGCAATACATAGTGTGCTTATACGTAAATACGTGCTTCTCCTAATGGCAATAAGGACCACATAAAGATTCTGTAAAGTTTATATGAGTTACAGAGAATATGGAAAAATATATCAACCATACTTATATACATTGTCATTCATGGTCAATTTAATATGATTTGTTTTGAAAAGAGAAGTTCAGGGGTAAAACTAAATTGTCCCAAATGTCAGCATTAAACTGAAGGAGCATCAAATTTTTATACATTTATGGATTCTCCTGAAACATAGCTAAAATAGGGAACCAGCAGTTAGCGTAATGGCTATGTCGCTGGATTCCCACGTAGTCGACCGCAGTTCGCGTCCCGGACCTGGTGGCTTAGAACTCACACCGGGCGCGTGTGTGTGAATGCCCAAGATCCCAAGAGGAGAATGGAGGAGAAGGGATTGTGGCGTGACCATCCCCCCTAGGGGGTGATTTCTCACTTTCTGTCTCTATGTCTCTCTCTGTCTGGCGAGCACACACACCCTATAGCAAAAACCTCTCCAAAAATAAATAAATAAATTAATTAATTAAAACATAGCTAAAATAAATAGGTAGGCCTGGTGAATGGATATAATGTTAAATTTAAATATTTCAATGAGGGTCGGCAGGTGGCGTGGTTAAGGGTGCTAGACTCCCACATGGCTGACCGCCATTCGAGTCTCAGACTTGGTGGCTTGCTTTCGCACTTTCCTTCTCTCTCTTTCTCTCTGGTCAAATTGAAATAAATAAAGTTAAATAAAATAATTCTTTAACAAAAAAATTTCATTAACACAATTAATATGAATTCTATTTTTAATTGAATAAAAATGAACCACTTAAAAACAATCATGCATTAAAAAACTAAACGTGATAAAAATCAGTCCTATAATTCATACTGTGCCTCTCATTTATACGTTGCTCAGATTCACTTTATTCACATTCTTCCAAAAAGGGAGAAAAAAGGCAAAAAAGCAAAAAAAAAAAAAAAAAAGAAAGAAAAGAAAAATAAGAGGCAAAGATAGTTAGCAGCTGATGAACCATTTTTCACCTCCAGCCAATAGCTAGAATATAATCCAAAACTGTTATCATTTTATATTCATTTAATGACCCTTGTAAAAGTCTAGTATTTAACAGGCAGGTATCCACATTACATCATTTTCTGATCTACACAGATGAGCTTAACATCATCACCTCTTCATCCTTTCTTTCAAGATCAAGAAAGTTACTTGAGTTTATCAGTATAGGATTGAGTTTATCAATGTAAAACTCAAACCTGTATCTCAGAAAAAAAAAATGTAAAAAAGGAACCTTCCACCCTTTAATTAGAAAATGCACCTCCTTTTTGTAAAACCTTCTTAAAGGTCAAGCCTCCTTATACAAAATATTTATTGATTCCGGTTTGGAGAATAACCATTTTCTAACTTCTCTGAGTTCATTTAAACTATTTTAAAGACTGACAAATGAAAGATATATTAAGTTTGACCAAATAAGTTGACAACATGTATATACAAAATCCTGCACATGGATGTCATAGCAGCTTTATTCATAAATTACCAAAACTTGGAAGCAAACAAGAGGTCCTCTAGTAGGTGAATTGTTAAATGTGGTACATCCAAACAATGGAGCCATCAAAAGACAAGGAAGAACTTTACATGCTTATTATTACCAAGGGAAAGAAGCCAATCTGAAAAGGCTATATACTGTATGATTCCAACTATATGACATTCTGAAAAAGTTAAAACTACATTCATAGTAAGAAGGTCTGTGGCTGGAGATGAGGGAGCAATGAACAGGTGGAGCAGAGAGCAATGAGACTATTTCATGTGATAGGTTAACAGTGGACACGTGTCATTATATAGCTGCCTAGCCCCACGGAATATACAACACACAGAAGGAACCCTCACGTAAACTATGGACTTTGGATGATGATGGGTCAATGCTGGTTCATCAACTGTAACAAATGTACCACTCCAGGGCCAGCAGGTGGCGTGGTGGTTAAGGCGCTGGAATTCTCATATGGTCAACCGCGGTTGGAGTCCGGTACAGGTGGCTTACTTTCTTATTCTTCTCTCTCTCTCTCTTTCTCTGGCAAAACTCATGTGAAAAATAATAATAAATAAAAAAAATAATTCTTTAAAAAAATGTACCTCTCTGGGGCTGGATATTGAAATAGAGAAGGACTACCATTGATAGAAATTCTGTACTTTCCACTTGATTTTGCTCTGAACCTAAAACTGCTCTAAAAATAAAATTTATTAAAGGATAGCTTAGTAGAGTAATAGGTAAAAGTGATAACCTCGTAGCACATGAACACAACACGGTAAGGAGTAAATAATTTTAAGACAAATAAAAATGTAAATGCCAAATAAGAGTAGAAATTATCTCACTCGCTCTCATTTTCTATAGGAAAATTTTTCATGGGAAAATTCAGATCCAAAGGATTTAAATGACTTTCTTAAGATAACAAGAGCAGCAGCAATTGCAAAAAGGAATAAACTAATAATGAATTATTATAATGTAAGACCTCAATGACTTATCAACATGTCTTTCAGATACTTTGCATAGCTCTTAACACCACAATGAGAATATCTTTTCAGGGCTGGCTCTGTAGCCTAATGATTTAAGGAGCCAGATCCCACATGGCCAACTACATTTCAAATCCCAACCCTGGCAACTTGAAAAACATGTTGGGTGCACATATGTGTGCGTGCATACCCCCAAATTCCTACACAAAATACCTACACGATAGTAAATGGAGAAGGGGTTGTGGTGTTGCCATGCTCCACTGGGGAGGTGCTGCTTTCTTCCTCTGTCTCCCTCTCTCTGGTGAGCACATGTGCCCTCTGGCAATTCTGTTTTGGAGAGGTTCTTGCTATAGGGTGCGTGTGCTTGCCAGAGAGACAGAGAGAGTCAGAGAGAGACAGAGAGATAGAAAGTGAGAAATCAGTCCCCAGGAGGGATGGCCATGCCACAATCCCTTCTCCATTCTCCTCGTGGGATCTTGGGCACACACACACACACACATGCCCAGCATGAGTTTAAGCCACCAGGTCCAGGACTTGAACCATGGTCGACTACATAGGAGTCCAGCGACATAGCCATTACGCTAAGGTATGGTCCCCCCTCTAGCAATTTTTAAAAAATTGTTTCAGATTTTTTTTTTGTTTTTACAGAATAAACACTGATTTGAAATTTTTAATTCTATAAACTCTTATTACAAAGTGAAAAGTTTAGGGTTCTTTTTTATATTACAAGAATGGCTATACTGTCAAAGCCGTCCTTTCATAACGGATAATACAGAATCTACATGAAAAAATTCCAAATTAGATTATCTATGTAACATGGTGTACACACACACATACACACACATATACTAATACTATACTAAACAAAACAAATTATTTAATAATTGAGGGAAATGTTTACTACATAATCCTAAAAACAAAGAAAAACATAAAACTTTATCTCAGAGTTAAATAAATTTAAATATATCTTTTGAAAAGACTGGAAGGAAATATAACAAAATATTAACAGTTGTCTCTGAATGGAAGAATTAGTAGTGATTTCTCTTTTTTTAGACTTATTATTATTATTTTAATTTGCCATAGGGTATGTGCATTCACCAGAGACGGGGGTGGGGGAGAGAAAGAGGGACAGTAAGAAAGCAAGCAAGCAGCCAGGTCTGGGGCTCAAACTGCCTTTGGCCAAGTGGGAGTCCAGCACCTTGATCACCACACCACCTGCTGGCCCCATTGGTGGTGATATTTTCTTTACATGCTTATATTTTCCAAACTTTCCAATGCATTTCTTTTTCTTTCTTTCCCTTCCTTCCTTCCTTCCTTCCTTCCTTCCTTCCTTCCTTCCTTCCTTTCTTTTTTGGAGAAGTTTTTGCTATAGGGTGTGTGCACTCGCCAGAAAGACAGAGAGAGACAGAAAGGCAGAAAGTGAGAAATCATCCCCCAGGGGGGACAGCCACACTGCAATCCCTTCTCCATTCTCCTCTCGGGATCTTGGGCACGCATGCACCCTGCGTGAGTTTAAGCCACTGGATCCAGGACTCAACCATGGCCGACTACATGGGAGTCCAGTGACATAGCCATTATGCCAACTGCTGGTCCTTCTGATGCATTTCTTCTAGTAAGGAGAAAACCATTTTTATTTTTTAACTGAAGAGAACTATATTTACTGGGACCTGTAGACGGCGAATGGTTACATCGCTACTCTCACATAGCTGACCACAGTTTGAGTCCCAGATCCCAAGGCTTGAAACTCATTCCAGGCACATGTGCTTGCGTGCCCAGAATCTTGAGAGGAGAATGGAGAAGGGACTATGGCATGGCCATCCCCACTGGCGAGCGATTTCTTACTTTCTGTCTCTCTGTCTCTCTAGCAAGCACACACACCACAAATGTTGAGTGGTTTACTCAACAACAACTTTAGAACAGACACATCTAATTGGTTCTATTTTAATAACACAGTTAACGATATACGGGAGTTGCATTATTATCTAAAAGGCAAACCATAGATTTATTTTCAGGAGGCCAGATATTTTACCACACTTTTTCCTATGTACTGAGTGGACAGGCTTCAGAATTTACAAAGGAAAATGCTAGAGGACAGAAGTTAAGTAATTTACTCCATTATAAAGTGAGTAGTTGATAGTGAGAACAGAAATAGAACCAGGAGTGTAATCTCTTTAAGACAAAACCCTCTCACCAGTCTCTGCCACCATATATGTAAAATTATACTAAATTCAGAATGGGTTAAACCTATGTAGACTAGATTTACTACACTGGAGCTGCATCTAATATAGGAGTTAGGTTCTAAAGTCAGCCCATATGTAAAAGTCAAATAGAGCCAA